ATAGAAGTGACTTCTGATATGAGTACAGAAGCCTTTATCCAAGCCTTTCGTAGATTTGCTGCATGCAGATCCTGCCCCAAATTAATAATTTCCGACAATGGGTCAAATTTTGTGGCCGGAGAAGCCGGCTTACGAGAGATATGGAACCCTCCAGAGGTACAGTCTGTACTAAAACAAAGACAGTGCCACTGGAAATTTATACCTCCAAGAGCCCCGAGGCAAGGTGGCTTTTATGAGCGGATGGTGGGAACTGTCAAGAAATGCCTAAGATAGGTTTTGCATCGGCAGAAAATTAATTTCCCTGAACTGCAAACCCTTGTCATCGAAATTGAGGCACGAGTCAACAATCGCCCATTAACTTACTTTTCGGATGATTTCTCCCAGAGAGAACCCCCTGAGTGCCTCTCATCTGATTCATGGTGGTCTTCTGAGTCCTCTAATACCTCTAGCGGATGAGAATCCAGCTGTGTTAGAGGAAGCGACTTGGTGGAAAGCTATAAACATCTTTAGAGAGTAATAGCAAAATGGTCTGAAATATGGACTCATGAATATCTTACTGCTCTGAGAGTGTAACATTATGGAGCTACGAGCCCCTATAATAAAGTTCAATTGAAACCGGGAGATCTAGTCCTAGTTGATAGTGATGGACCTAGGTCAGATTGGTCCATAGGCAAGATTGTCAAGGTTCATCCAAATCGCCAAGGTATCTTGAGAATAGTTAAGGTTCAGTGTCGAGGCACTACTACCTTAAAGACCTTGGAAAAGTTGGTACCTCTGGAATTAGCCGAACATGAATGTTCCACAGAGACAACTTTACCATCAGTTTCCGAGGACAGTGATACTGTCTCACAGAGCACACGACCACCTAGAGCCGCTGCTCAACAATTTAAATGGAAACTTAAACAATACTTTAATTCTGACTAAAAGCAGATAATTCATCATTCGATTTAAGGTAGTCATGATGATACAGTGATGGGTTGATGTTCAGTAACTCACCAGTTACAAGTCATCGTGATCCTGGACACTCACCTCACTGTGGATTCGAAGTCTCCCTAACCTTGAATAACTACCACACTACAATTACTGCACAGCTCCCGCACACTACCACACCACCGCACCATATTACCACACCACACTATTAAACGACACCACCACAATACCATCACTACCACACCACACTAACATGCACACTGCAACCACGAACACCATCAATCATTACCACCAACTGTAACCATCATTCACCACTGCCACCAACCACAATAACCCGACCACCATTGCCACCATCCACAATCCACCAAAAACAACCACCACCACAATGGATTTCCAATAAGTGAAACATTTAATAAAAACGAAGAACCAATCTTTATTATGATCCTATTTTATTTTGCTAAATATAGATATATATTTTTATATTTCTACATTCATATATATAACAGCAATAACAAAAACTACGTTTACAAAACATTTAAGGTTGCCACAAGATTTCAATTTTTTTTAGCCAACGTTTCGTGCAATACGTTTTGGAAACCTATTTACATCCACACAAAATTACGTATCTAATACGTGAACACAAACGTTGCCACTGCTTTCAAACACTTTACAGATACGTTGTGGCAACCTTAAATTGTTTCCTGGGTAATTATTAATTAAATTTAATCTAATAAATTACAATATTTCCCGATATAACTGTCATAAATAGGTTACAATTATTATTATGAGTGCCCTTTGACGGGTGAAATTGAAGGGAAGAAGAATTAATAACAATTACCAGGTACAATAAGTGACATGGGAAGCTTCACCTACAAGGAGTGTTAGTTTGTGTTATGATCCGCATCATATCTGGTCGTCAAGGCCAAAAACTACCATACAGATAAGGCTTCCCCATTTGTTTACTAATCTGTGTAGTCTTAACTCCTAGTAACATTGTAGTGAATGTCTACCAATTAATAATTTTGATTGATATATTATATATATAAATAATAAACCCAGCTGGTGTAGGAAATGATTTGTAGGAATTTAAATCATACAGACCACTTTAACATCATACAGTCCGCTACCGAAATACACGTAAGAAATATATCACTATATCAATTATATATAAATTAAAAATTAGAATTCATTAATGTAAATTTGCTAAATAAATAACTCCCATGAGTCAGTTTCTCCTCACTAGGTGGGTGAAGGACTCAAGGCTCCTGACTCCTGCTAGCAAGCTGAAAGATTTCCCTTCCCATGGTAAGCCTTGCTCTACTAATTTTCCCTGGAACTGGACCCGCCAATCGATTAACAACCAGGTTAACAACAAACTTTTCCCTGATAGTTCCCTTCCCTTCACTGCTGAGTCAACATTGGCGGGAGGGGGGGGATAGTTAGGGGTTGGCGTCCGGTCAATCTTCCCTGAATAGGCATCGAACCCAGACGAAATTGCTCGCGAGGCGCAGGGTGAGTACGTTACCACTGAGCCACTAGGGTTCTAAATTTGTGGGTTAAACCCTAAAATACTCTGAAACACTACAAGGATGGGATTTATCATCGAGAGATATACCCTGCTTCTTCAAGTACTGAGAAAAATCAGTCTGTTCAGGGCTCAAGGTATACTTGCAGGTTGGTCAGTATAGGCCTGATTAACTCTACTGCAGCTGAGGTGCCTTCAGGTCATCAACAACAGTTATCTCAGGTCATCAACAGCAGTAACTGCAGGTCATCAACAACAGTTACTTCAGGTCATCAACAACAGTTACTGAAGGTCATCAATAACAGTTACCTCAGGTCATCAACAACAGTTACTGCAGGTCATTAACAACAGTTACTGAAGGTCATCAACAACAGTTACTGAAGGTCATCAACAACAGTTACTGAAGGTCATCAATAACAGTTACCTCAGGTCATCAACAACAGTTACTTCAGGTCATCAACAACAGTTACTTCAGGTCACCAACAACAGTTACTTCAGGTCACCAACAACAGTTACTTCAGGTCACCAACAATAGTTACTTCAGGTCATCAACAACAGTTACTTACTTCAGGTCATCAACAACAGTTACTTCAAGTCATCAACAACAGTTAGTTCAGGTCATCAACAACAGTTACTTCAGGTCATCAACAACAGTTACCTCAGGTCATCAACAACAGTTACTTCAGGTCATCAACAACAGTTACCTCAGTTCATCAACAACAGTTACTGCAGGTCATCAACAACAGTTACTTCACGTTATCAACAACAGTTACTTCAGGTCATCAACTACAAGCCAAAGTCACACCATTATAAGGGAATGTTGCTGAACTGACATGAATGAAATGACATCAACGTTGTTTTTCCTTTAAGGAACACAAAATTAGCATATATAAAGAACACAATGAAAACATATGGAGAACGGTATGATAAACAAATACAAAACATACTTAAATTCATTACGTCTCTTTGATATATGACAGCATGACAACTTGTGAGAGGATGTGTGTTTCTGCGTGACAACTGATCAGTGGATGTGTGTTGCTACGTGACAACTGATCAGTGGATGTGTGTTGCTACGTGACAACTGATCAGTGGATGTGTATTGCTACGTGACTACTGATCAGTGGATGTGTGTTGCTACGTGACAACTGATCAGTGGATGTGTATTGCTACGTGACTACTGATCAGTGGATGTGTGTTGCTACGTGACAACTGATCAGTGGATGTGTATTGCTACGTGACTACTGATCAGTGTATGTGTGTTGCTACGTGACAACTGATCAGTGGATGTGTGTTGCTACGTGACTACTGATCAGAGTATGTGTGTTGCTACGTGACAACTGATCAGTGGATGTGTGTTGCTACGTGACTACTGATCAGAGTATGTGTGTTGCTACGTGACAACTGATCAGTGGATGTGTGTTGCTACGTGACTACTGATCAGAGTATGTGTGTTGCTACGTGACAACTGATCAGTGGATGTGTGTTGCTACGTGACTACTGATCAGTGTATGTGTGTTGCTACGTGACTACTGATCAGAGTATGTGTGTTGCTACGTGACAACTGATCAGTGGATGTGTGTTGCTACGTGACTACTGATCAATGCATGTGTGTTGCTACGTGACAACTGATCAGTGGATGTGTGTTGCTACGTGACTACTGATCAGTGTATGTGTGTTGCTACGTGACTACTGATCAGTGGATGTGTGTTGCTACGTGACAACTGATCAGTGGATGTGTGTTGCTACGTGACAACTGATCAGAGGATGTGTGTTGCTACGTGACTACTGATCAGAGGATGTGTGTTGCTACGTGACAACTGATCACAGGATGTGTGTTGCTACGTGACAACTGATCAGAGGATATGTGTTGCTATGTGACTACTGATCAGAGATTTGTGTTGCTACGTGACAACTGATCACAGGATGTGTGTTGCTACGTGACTACTGATCAGAGGATGTGTGTTGCTACGTGACTACTGATCAGAGGATGTGTGTTGCTACGTGACAACTGATCAGTGGATGTGTGTTGCTACGTGACAACTGATCACAGGATGTGTGTTGCTACGTGACAACTGATCACAGGATGTGTGTTGCTACGTGACAATTGATCACAGGATGTGTGTTGCTACGTGACAACTGATCAGAGGATGTGTGTTGCTACGTGACTACTGATCAGAGGATGTGTGTTGCTACGTGACAACTGATCACAGGATGTATGTTGCTACGTGACTACTGATCACAGGATGTGTGTTGCTACGTGACAACTGATCACAGGATATGTCTTGCTACGTGACAACTGATCACAGGATGTGTGTTATAAAGTATCAACTGATCAGATGATCTGATAAGGCAGCTGCGTCACCCCCCCCCCCCCTCCTACCCCTCTTATCCTAGGCATCATTTTGACCCTAGTCTCCGCCCTCAAGAGCATCGCTGCAGCTGCTAAGAATGAGAATAAGCTGCTCCCAATCTCTTAACTCCTGCGTCTTATCAACCCATTTTATTCCACCAAAGTTAAGATTTCCAGCTTGTCCTTTCCTCCCTAGCTTTCATGGCTGTCGCTGGCGGCCGTCTCGGGGCCCCGAAAGATCTTCCACAACCACTTGTGCAGTCGCCCACAGGTAGGGTTCACTACCCCTTCGGCCAGACTGCTGGGGCTGAGCGGACCTGAAAATGGCGACAACGAGAGTTAAAGACTTCTATAGTTCTTCCTATGTATAGATATTTCAAGGGCTTCCGATCCTCTCCTTGAAAATATCTTATCCATGAAGTGCTTTCTTCCTGGAGATACTTGAAGGAAAATAGCGTGAAAAGCTACTGGGTTTGTAAAAAAAAGTTACTGGGAAAATAGCATGAAAAGCTACTGGGTTTGTAAAAAAAAGTTACTGGGAAAAACGCATGAAAAGCTACTGGGTTTGTAAAAAAAAGTTACGGGGAAAATAGCATGAAAAGCTACTGGGTTTGTAAAAAAAAGTTACTGGGAAAATAGCATGAAAAGCTATTATTTATTGGCTAAATGCAGAATAATTTATCGGAGAAAAATAGCGTGTTGGTTTAATATGTTGAGAAATGTGTTGGAAACGAATGAAGCAGAAGCACAAATGTTTAAGTGTTTGCGTTGTTTGATTAGATTGTTCAGGTGGGCTACTAACAGCAGAAGGCCAATATGTTTGATCTCATGGTATTAGGTCACATTGAACATGGTCACATGGTACCTGGTCTCATGGTACCTGGTCTCATAGTACCAGGTCTCATAGTACCATGTCTCATGGTACCAGGTCACATGGTACCTGGTCTCATGGTACCTGGTCACATGGTACCTGGTCTCATGGTACCAGGTCTCATGGTACCAGGTCTCATGGTACCAGGTCACATGGTACCTGGTCTCATGGTACCAGGTCTCATGGTACCAGGTCTCATGGTACCTGGTCTCATGGTATCAGGTCACATGGTACCAGTTCACATGGTACCAGGTCACATGGTACCAGGCCACATGGTACCAGGCCACATGGTACCTGGTCACATGGTACCAGGTCCCATGGTACAGGTCACATGTTATCATGTCATATGGTACTTGGTCTCATGGTACCAGGTCACATGGTACAGGTCACATAGTACCAGGTCACATGGTACCTGGTCTCATGGTGCCAGGCCACATGGTACTTGGTCTCCTGGTATCAGGGCACATGGTTACAACCTGCCAATCACTGTTCTTAATAGTAATACGTGAATAAATGGAGCAATTCACAGCCCAGGTGATTGGAAATGGAGCAATTCACAGCCCAGGTGATTGGAAATGGAGCAATCTTGGACTGACTCCCATTCACGATGACACAACACAATATATATATGAATACAACGGAGTCCGTCCAACACAGTCTTTATAAGTGTCTTGAGACGAAATACTGAGAGCAAACAAGGCAAGAAGTCTCACCTGTACAGAATGACACGACGTTGCTGATCACAAGAGTGATGAAGATGGCCATCACTCCAGTGTAGGAGTAAGATATGTCGTAGAGTGAGTACTTCGGCGACCTGGAGATGGTTTAGAGTAGGTTCAGAGACGTCGTGAACCCCAGGTTGGGATCAGTGACAACCTGGTGCTAGTTGAGGTTCATAACCAACTTTAAGATTCATTAGATTTGGTTTATTGGGAGGGGGGGGGAGGGTACCTTAAGCTTGGGTATGTTAGGTTGATTAACGACCTGAAGCTTGGGAATGTTCGGTTGATTAACGACCTGATGCTTAGATATGTTAGCCTCACTGACGACCTGAAGCCTGGATATGTTAGCCTCACTGGCGACCTGAAGCCTGGATATGTTAGCCTCACTGGCGACCTGAAGCGTGGATATGTTTGGTACATTAACGATCTATAGCTAGGTTAGCCTCAATGACAGTCTGAAGACACGTTAGGTTAGGGTCAACAACGACATGAAGGTATACACACAATTACAATCTCTGCTGTATATGCTCGTGACATTTTTTATATTATAAACACTAATGTCAGGAGACGATAAGATCTTCATCAATGCCATAAAACCTTAAATAACATAAAACTTGAAACTGGGAATAGAGTTGAATTAATTTTTTGGGGCTGTATATATGAGCACTTCGACGATTTACAAAAGACTTGCTAACATTTAATAATTTAGGAATTTGAATTCTAAAGTAAAATCATTATATGCTACATGATACAGACCCATGAACGCTGGCTGTCGGTGAAGGCTCTGCGAGTGTTGATATGACCAGTGTGTCATAGAGCAGTGTGCCTGTCTCTGAGGTGTTGCTGAGGTAGACGGTGTCGTAGGGAGGAGCCGGAGACTCAGGGCATCCCGCCGTGGACAGCGGCAGGACGCCCGCCTCGCCTCCACTATACAAGTAATTGCCAACTGAGATCCACGCGGAGAAGATGAACGCTGTCAGGCTTCCCACCACGGCCCCCTGGTCATGCGTTATGAGTTAAACAGCAATTTCGTGTAATAAATCTAATACATATATACATCAGAATATTTACCACAATATGTGTACTTGTATGCTAATGCATATATGGGATAAATTTGAGTTGATATTGCATGATATTACCTTGGTGTTGACCCACGGCGTGCACATCCCAGCAATGTAAATGCCATTTATAGGACCAGTGATGACCCCGCTGATGTTGGTGACAACCTTGAGGACGCCTCCCAGCTGCCCAACCAGAAGCCCCATGCAAGTGCCAATCACTCCAGCCCCTAACGCTGTCACGAAAATAGTAATTAGTTTTCTATTGTTCTCGTAAGATTATTGCATTCATATATTCAACCTTTAGTCAAACACAAACTCGTTACCGTGAAGTTATTTTATTTAATATTGCAAAACATTTAAGTTATTCTTACTGTGTTTATTTTTTATTTATTAATTTGTAAGAAATGTCATCCTAAGTTAAATATATATCCTAATGTCATCCTAATATATATATATTAGTATATTTTAGTAGCAGTCTTTCTTGTAAACATATATTACTAAATATGACCGAAAAAGTAAGAGTAATAATTCTAACACGAATTTTCTCAATATTTCTTTTCACTGTCGATGGTAATTGAAAAATTAGTTCTCCAAAATTCATTTTTATTTCTAGTCTGACGCGACACTTGAACGCATTTAGTAATAAATTTCGGAATTCTGTGTTGCGTTTCACTTACGAGATGGAGAAGGATGGGAAGCTGCCCTCTCTAGATGTAACAGTCATGGAAAGGAGCGAAGGTTTCCACACTGCAGTCTACACTAAGGAAACAAACATAGGAATGTGCCTCAATGCCAACCGTGACTGCCCAGACAGGTACAAGAGGAGTGTTGTTAACGCTTATGTCGATCGTGCTCTCAGCCACAGCTCAGGATGGAAGCAAGTCGATGAAGAACTCTGTAGGGTAAGGCAGGTCCTAGTCAACAACGGCTTCTCCAATGGTTTCGTTGAAGACATCATAAGAAGGAAGGTGAAACACCATGCAACCTCTGAAGAGACAACTAACACAACACCTTTAACCCCTATTAGACTATTTTTCAGGTATTTCTTTTCCACAGCTCATAAAACGGAGGAAAGGGCCCTGAAAGATATTGTTGATAGGAACGTTATCGCTACAGACAAAAATCAGACGATACAATTGACGATTTACTATAAAACCAAAAAAACGGCCAACCTACTCATGAGAAACTCTCCAGACACAAAGCAGAACGCTTTAAAAGAGACCAATGTCGTCTATGCCTTGAAATGCCCACTTGATGAATGTAAGCCTCAAAGAACTCAGTATATAGGCAAGACAACAACATCTCTTTCCAGGCGATTAACGATGCATAAGCAATAGGGCTCCATTAAGGAACATAAAATCTCTTCCCACAACCAGACCATCACCAGAGAAATCCTAACAACACAGAAATCATCGATAGATACAGCGAAAGCAGGCGGCTTGACATCTGCGAGGCACTACACATCAAGAAGTCAACACCAGCAATCAACACCCAATTAATTCACAACTATATTCTACCCACTTCAAGACTCCACACCAATATAGAAGTATCAGGAAATATGGGCCAATAGGCCCTTTGCAGTTACTTCCATTCTCCCCTTTAATTTACCCTATTTATACCCATTGTTTCGTGTTCTGTCTTGTGTTGAAAGTTTGCTCTATCTTGTGCTGAAAGTTTTGTTCACCTCATCCAAAACTGTTGTAACATATCACCTCACCCAAATTCGGGTATATAAGATGAAAGTTGTTTAAATTATAGCATAGTAGAACTCTGTTTAATGTTTGCAGGTTATAGTTGTGTGTGTGTAAATTAAAGTCTTTGAAAATGTAATAAGTTATTACAAAACGCGTTCAAGTGTCGCGTCAGACTAGAAATAAAAATGAATTTTGGAGAATTGATGTTTCAATTACCATCGACAGTGAAAAGAAACATAAGAAATATTGAGAATATTCGTGTTAGAATTATTAATCTTACTTTTTCGGTCACATTTAGTAATATATATATATATATATATATATATATATATATATATATATATATATATATATATATATATATATATATATATATATATATATATATATATATATATATATATATATATTTTTTTTTTTTTTTTTTTTTTTTTTTTTTTTTTTCAGTTCCCCTGTAAAAGGCTGCCATCCTATGTGTGTCCTATACTTTCTGTGTGTCTAATGACTATTATATCCACAGAGGTGACGTGGAGGGTCTACTGCGCTTTGGAAAGGAGTTCATTTTGAGCAATTTAGAACTCCTGACTTGTCAATGTGAGGACAAGTGGCTGCCATCAGTAGTAGACAGTGTGTTGGCTTATGTATTTGTGAAGTGATTGTGTGGATTGACGTACACAGGATTTGCCCAAGAGGAGTTACAAAACGACAGTATTGGCTGTCTTTTGAGAAGTGCTGCTAGTTTGTAGTCAGACTTCTGCCAGAGTGTTAGTGGAGACCCTGGATGTATTATTGGTGGCCCCTGTCAGCGTGTTGCTGAAGCCCTCTGCCATTGTGTTTCTGGAGAGCAGACATGGGGTATTTGGACATCGTGACGATACGGTGTGGGACTGGCCCATGTTCAGTAAGGTGAACTCGCCAGTGTTAAGGCTATTGGAAGTGGATGAATTATACTTGAAGATAGTGGACTCACTGGGATTTGAAGAACACTGCAGATATATTAAGTGTCCTATGTGAAAAAGACACTGTGTACATATGTGTAGTTATATGAAATAGATAATATATTGTGTGTTATTTAGTCTTGTTTATCCCCATTATTCCTTGCACAATTACTTGCCACCGTCAATTCTTGATAACTTACTTGGGATGGGAACATAGAAGATGAGGCTCTAAGGCCTCATAAGCAGAAAAAATCTTGTTACTGGCTCAAGAAGGCCTTAATACATATATATTAATTGATTTACTACGTTTGGGAGCATATACATATGAAATAATTACAGATGATTTTCAAGGCTTTAGTGGCGCCCTCGTTGCTCAGGTCCTTGAAGCAGCTCCGTTCCTTCAAGAAGTCCTCCCAAAGGAGACAAGCCACCGAGTTCGCTGCGCTGGACACAGAACTGGGAAAGGGTTGATGGTATGAGTATGCTACCTGCTTTATTGCAAATAATTATAAAATTTTAATCAAATTCAACTTATTAAAGTATATAAAGAGCAAATTCACACACACGCGCGCACGCAGACACACACACGGTTCAGGCCAATCCTGGAGTATGCAGCCCCAGCATGGAGTCCATATCTAGTCAAGGACAAAACTAAACTGGAAAAGGTTCAAAGGTTTCCCACCAGACTAGTACCCGAGCCAAGAGGTATGAGCTACGAGAAGAGACTACGGGAATTAAACCTCACTTCGCTGGAAGACAGAAGAGTTAGGGGGGACATGATCACCACGTTCAAGATTCTGAAGGGAATTGATAGGGTAGATAAAGACAGGCTATTTAACACAAGGGGACACAGGTGGAAACTGAGTGCCCAAATGAGCCACAGAGATATTAGAAAGAACTTTTTTAGTGTCAGAGTGATTGACAAATGAAATGCATTAGGAAGTGATGTGGTGGAGGCCGACTCCATACACAGTTTCAAGTGTAGATATTATAGAGCTCAATAGGCTCAGGAACCTGTACACCTGTTGATTGACGGTTGAGAGGCGGGACCAAAGAGCCAGAGCTCAACCCCCGCAAGTACAACTAGGTGAGTACAACTAGGGGAGTACACACAGAAAGACACACACACACACAGGTAGAACTAAATAATGAAGAGAGTAAGCTTACCTCAAAACTCCCCCATACACAGCTACAACGAAAATTCCAGACAACCCAGTGAGATGGTTCAACTTGTCTATAACCATAAAGGGTAAAATCTGGTCAAATTTGTTGATCTTGCCAGAGGAGAAGGGATCGCAATCTCTGTAGACGGCGTAGGCGACCATACCAGAGAAGAAAAACAGCAAATACAACAGACTCAGCCCCACGGCAAAGACAAGGCACAGCCTGAGATATTGAAAGTTGAAAATCCATAAATAAAAATATTCTGGACGATTTGTATTTTTTTTACTTAAAATGCCTTAAAAGATGAAGATTTGGATCAAAGGTTAATTTAGTAATGGTCGTAGTAAAATGATGACAAATAAGTACGATTATTGTAATATGAATCAATATTGATGAATATATACATATTTAGATAGTTTTTAATAGATGTTTCTTTACTTTTATATTTGATATTAATATGTATTTGCCTCCGAGAGGACCTCATTTTCACAACGACTGAGATCTTCGAAAAGGTCTCTACCATCGGAAATGTCTCACCGGCTGACATCCAGGTGAGAAGGTGTTTGTGAGAGAGTGTCTCTCAAGATTCTCCCACAGTTGACTGGAATGGCTCATTGCTGTGCACAGTGCACCGATCTTGTGCACAAGGTCCTATTTCTGTTAACCCTGGATAGTGACCTGGCATGTTGGATATCTCCAGAATGCCCACTTAACCAGGAACACTTTCATAATATGGAGGCCGCCGTATGTCCAGACAGGAAGTAGATACAGGGAGTTAAGCATACTTGCCACCAAAGGGTCAGTGAGTACATGGCTGGTGGAGCGTGGGAGAGGGGAGACGCTAGCAGCGTCTGACCTCTGGGGTCAACCGGCGCGATGGACAATAACAGCTATGACGTGATCGTGACGTGTTCATGACGTCACTCCTGCTACTGCTCATCGAACGAGCTAATATGATTGGTTCCCGCTCATTTGCTGCAATGTCATTGGTCAAATTGTAATCCCCTTGTGTGTGCCACAAGACGACCTGAGCTTCAGGCATTCTTGTGAGGGATCTCTAGCAAAGTGGACGTGTTCTGTTCTACCGGCCAATAGACTGAACACCGTCTATTCCTCACCGTCAAGTTAACTCAGCATCTGAAGATTATACGATACACTCGCCCAGAATCACGGGTGTGAATATATTAATCAGAAGCCTAAAGTGACAAATCTCCAGAGCGAAACAGACTGGTATCAGGTAACTCCTGGTGACAAAGATCGTTGTGAGTGACTAAGGCAGTGCCGCCGCCTAAGTAACCTGTGTGTGACTTTACCACAAGTGTACCTGCATGGTACCACAGCCGCCGCCACTCGTCCCGAGCGTGCACCTCAGTACCCAGTACCCCAGTACCTCTGTACTTCTGTGCCTCGAACGCCCGCCGCCGCCCTCACACTACTACGTGACGTCACCACCTTGCTCATCGCCAGTGCCAGTGGGTGCGCGTGTGTCTGTTAAGCATACAGCCCGGCCTACTGCAAGTACCCTCCGTGTCTACGAGCGAAACCAGCTGTCAGGCCACCTACGAGTGCTTGTATAAATGTGCCTGAGTAAGAAAAAGGTACCTATCTGTAAGTACAAGATTTTGTCATTGTTTTATTGTGTCTGTGTTGATCTGAGGTATCAACCACAGTTCTCACCTTCTCATACCTGTCACAGGTCATAGGTGAATCGACGGTGTATGCGTGTTTATCTCTGTGGTATCACTGCATTTCACTAGTCTGTGAATGTGAGCTTCACATACACCACACATTTAGTTATTGTGTGATAATATTATTGTGCATGTTATTGCCTGTCCCATTGACAGTGTAGTTGTTGATTTATTGCATATCATCATTACCGAGTATCCGGCTGGAACTCTTGTGATCCCTTTGCATACCGGCAGTTAGGTTGCCGTGTTAATGATTGGCTGTCAACTGTGTTAAGTTAGGTGTTTCTCCACGAGTGGATACGAGTCGTTTAGCCAGACATCAAGAGTCTCGCTAATATAACCATAGCTTTGCTGACGCCAATATAAAGTAAATCAAGCACCCTGTGTATTAGTGGTTAAGTTAGTAAATATACTACTGTTAAGTTTTATGCGGTGTTTCCGTTGAACCACTTCTGAATACTGTCAATCAAATACTGAAGCCTTCAGCTCTAAGTGTCTTCAACACCGAGTTGCCTATAAGTCACAAACTATAAATGTGATGAGGACCCTAGGAGTCCCTTAAAGTGTTAAATCATTGAGGAGATTCCAACGATCAACGTGGAGCAGGACCAGGTGAGACTAGTCTGAGAAGAGATTCTCAAGGACTCTAACTCGACATTGCTCCCAGGCCCTGTACGGTTGCTCTCGTATTTTCTATTCTGCAAATTCCGACAGCTTCGTGAAGCGTCTGCCACATGTACCTTGGCGACGTACGCATTGCAGTCGTGAAAGCAATAAAGAAACACCCCACAGTGTTCACCTTCTCTTCTCTTCTCCATCGACGCTGCTACTCGGCAGTGTACTCAGTGTACACTGCAATGTGCCCTGAGCACACACTACCACCACCTCACCTCAGCTAGCCAACATGCCTACGTCTGATTTCCCGGCCTTGCTTGAGAACACACAGTGGCAAGCTGCTGCTACCTCAACACCGCCTGGTCCCTCGCCTCCGCAGCACCTCATTACCACCAACCAAGCCCACAGCTACCACCAACAACACCCTGCCATCGGTACTTCTACACCTCACCAACATACTGTTGGGCAACGACGTTAACCTATACGTCCACACCATCAACCGGCGTCTCACCGCAAATGGACAACCGACGGTGAGGGGTACCAGGTGACCTCCCAGCTGCTGCCGGCCGGCGTCCGACCCCGCAAGACGCCCCACAACCAATCCGGTAACAGGGACGCCACCCACCCTGGCTGCCCCTGCCAATGAAGACATCACATTCGAAGAAGACGACGGACAACCCGAACCTCACTCAACCGACACCAGGAGACTCTCCAGAACCACCACCGACGTCGACAAGAATAGCCTTGCGATCGACGACGACGACGAAAACAAAAGTCCCTGCTATGTTCTTTACATTGCGTCCAGCAAGTTCAATGCCAACTCAAACACCAGACGACAACTGGCCCACAAATGTAACAAGACAATCAGCACGAGGAAAGGCGTCAAATACCCGCACCCCAAGTATGTCGACGCCAACACAATGATCTCCTACACTGATCTCACCATACTGAAGAAAGAATACAGCGACCTAGAATTTCACCGCAAATTCAAAGACGGACAAATGCAATTCCTCAAAAAGGACGACGATCCTGATGGTACCAAACTACCGAGGTTGTTCTGTTCAGGTATAAAGCGTCGCCTTGCACGTTAACCTGGCGACCAAGCCTCCTGTGGGCCATAAACTGCGAGCGACCATGAAGGCCCCATCCATCTACAGATCTCCAGTATTACCTATTGGTACTCGTAATGGTTCCAAAGAGCCTCCACATATGGGCTAGTTATGCCTGTGCCATCTTTTGCGTGGATTTCTTCTCTTTTTATATTCACTGTGCTTGGTTGATTAGTATTATAATTTTATTGGAGGTGTGCTGGTTTCTGGTCTTGGTTGAGGAGTGTACATCCGATCCAAGTGTCGCCTTAGAGAGGTGTTGATCTTGTGGTTACTATAGCAATTGGTCACCAGTACTTGTGTTATCCTCTCAACTCCCTACTCAAGTTACTTCATTCAGAGCAGTGGGCAAGGGCTCGACGAATATGAGCATTGAGAGCATTGGCTTTGTATCTTTGGGGACACTCACTCCTACCGTTTAGGCATAATCCTATGTTTGTAGGCTTAGTATATACGCTGGTGCATATAGATGCTTATGTTTTTGTTAACACATCCAGAAAAGGTAGATTGTTATTTTTACTATTTTCATGGTTGAATCGGAATCCTAACTCTCTCTCTTTCTAGATGGCATTTTAGACCAAATATTTCTTCTAGGTCTTTTTCTATTACGTCATCGACATACCGCCAGTATACGCTTGGTTTTTCGATTGCTACTGAAGACTATTTCTGCGATGGTACCCCCCGTAAAAATTTGCAAATAACACTCCTATGAGAGTATCCCATTGTTGCTCCATCCATCCGTGGATACAGATTGTATGTAAAATGGATACAGAGCAGGCGTTAATTGAAAATAACCAAATAATATCATCTGTTAATTAGAATATATTTATTCCAACATTTCTTGATGTGGTGAAGATTGACGTTACCAGGAGTGACACCGGATGGTAATATGTTTTATTTAACTGCTATGAAGTCGAAAATTTAAACAGCTTGTAGTATATTATTTTCCAGTTGTAAGAACAGAAATACAGCACCTATGAACTCCTGGTAGTGGCTTTTAGCAGCTCAATTCTTACCTTTTTGATGTCTGGACGTTGCTGACAGATACGAGCCTTTGGAAGGATATCTGACTGAAGGCAAATAAATAAATAGTGTAGTGGAGGCCCATCGCTATAGTTGTCCAGAATGTGTGGCGAATGAAGGGGCTGGGATCCAGGCTGGGAGGAAGAGATAGGAAGCTGTGAGAAAGTTTTATTCTGATAATGAGCAATTGCTTCCTTTCAGACAAGAGATGCTTCATCTGCCTCTTATGTGTGAACTGCACCTTTGTAAACAGCCTGTCCTCTTAACATTGGTCAAATGCTTGTTAATCCAACCATAAACATTGTTCACAAGCATTATGATGGAACATTTCTTCACCAGGACTTCACTCTCTTCCTGCTAAATGCTTCACCCATGAACTGAAAGTTTAAAATAGTTATAACCAAAACCAGATCACCTAATCTAACATAGCCTAACCTAACTAATCAAAAACTGACAATACACACACCAATAATATACATTAATATTATTTATATTCGAGAAAGTTACGATTTTTGTTACACGTCACGATCAAATTTAGGAATGGTAATTATGATCCTCTGAAGTTTGGCCGAGGATAGGCTGCTGTGAATGTAGTTAGACAGTCGTAGCTTTTTTACTTAATATCAAACTTGATGAAGGTCTCTACCTAAACGTCAATAGTGAACGTAGCGTAAATTCTTGAGATAGAAATGCACCTGTAATGAACAAAATATATTTACTGTCAGGTTCGTTAAGAACATTTGTCAGTACGTATATTATCAAAAATTACGTAGATACAACCGAATTTTTTTTTATCGTCATTTTATCGTTTATAGCATATATATATATATATATATATATATATATATATATATATATATATATATATATATATATATATATATTAGTATATTTTGGTAGCAGTCTTTCCTGTAGACATATATTATTAAATATGACCGAAAAAGTAAGATTAATAATTCTAACACGAATTTTCTCAATCTTCGTACATTACGCTTCACTGTTGGAGGTAAATCAAAAATCAATTCTCCAAAATTCATTTTTATTTCTAGTCTGACGCGACACGGGCGCGTTTCGTAAAACTTATTACATTTTCAAAGACTTTAGTTCACAAATACACAACTGATTAGAACTTACGTATCTCCAATTTTATATCTACATTTGAGTGAGGTGGGAGGGGTGATGTGGCATTAACACAAGACAGAACAAGAGGGGATATTAATAGGGTATTAAAAGTATCAACACAAGACAGAACACAAACAATGGGTATTGAATAGAAGTGTTTGTAGAAAGCCTATTGGTCCATATTTCTTGATGCTTCTATATTGGAGCGGAGTCTTGAGGTGGGTAGAATATAGTTGTGCAATAATTGGCTGTTGATTGCTGGTGTTGACTTCTTGATGTGTAGTGCCTCGCAAACGTCAAGCCGCCTGCTATCGCTGTATCTATCGATGATTTCTGTGTTGTTTACTAGGATTTCTCTGGCGATGGTTTGGTTGTGGGAAGAGATTATATGTTCCTTAATGGAGCCCTGTTGCTTATGCAACAGGGCTCTTGCAACAGCCCTGTTGCTGTTGCATAAGCAACAGGGCTCCATTAAGGAACATATAATCTCTTCCCACAACCAAACCATCGCCAGAGAAATCCTAGTAAACAACACAGAAATCATCGATAGATACAGCGATAGCAGGCGGCTTGACGTTTGCGAGGCACTACACATCAAGAAGTCAACACCAGCAATCAACAGCCAATTATTGCACAACTATATTCTACCCACCTCAAGACTCCGCTCCAATATAGAAGCATCAAGAAATATGGACCAATAGGCTTTCTACAAACACTTCTATTCAATACCCATTGTTTGTGTTCTGTCTTGTGTTGATACTTTTAATACCCTATTAATATCCCCTCTTGTTCTGTCTTGTGTTAATGCCACATCACCCCTCCCACCTCACTCAAATGTAGATATAAAATTGGAGACACGTAAGTTCTAATCAGTTGTGTATTTGTGAACTAAAGTCTTTGAAAATGTAATAAGTTTTACGAAACGCGCCCGTGTCGCGTCAGACTAGAAATAAAAATGAATTTTGGAGAATTGATTTTGATTTACCTCCAACAGTGAAGCGTAATGTACGAAAGATTGAGAAAATTCGTGTTAGAATTATTAATCTTACTTTTTCGGTCATATTTAATAATATATATATATATATATATATATATATATATATATATAGTATATATATATATATATAATATATAATATGTGTGTGTGTGTGTGTGTGTGTGTGTGTGTGTGTGTGTGTGTGTGTGTGTGTGTGTGTGTGTGTGTGTGTGTGTGTGTGTGTGTGTGTGTGTGTGTGTGTGTGTGTGTGTATAAAATCTAGGCCTACAGAACACTTTGCCTTGCCTAGAGGCTTGGTCAGAAGAACTGTCTGGAATACATCTTTCCTACTGGAGACTTGAATACATTCATCAAACAACCTTTTATTTAAATTAGGTTGTATTTACAGTTTGTATGCTGAGGTGTTGCCCCAATTAAGTTTACTTATTAAGTAGCACTTTAATACTCACTTGAGGAACTCGACCCGAGAGCCTTGAAGCGCTGAGTCCCAGACGACGCCGACCCCACCAAGGTCAAGAGTGCAGATGACCACCACCACCAACACTCCCAGGAACATGAGGGAGGTCTGCAACACGTCCGTGTACACCACAGCCTTCACTCCTCCCTGGTGAATAATGAGGCATTATGAGTCTTGTGTGACTCACTCCCAGGAAGATGAGGAAAGTTTGTACCACAGCCTCCACTCCTTCATGGGGAATATTGAGGCATTTTGAGTCTTGTGTGACTCACTCCCAGGATCATGAGGAAAGTTTGCACCGCAGCCTCCACTCCTCCCTAGCGAAAATTGAGGCACCATGAATTAGTGTCTCATCAATCAACCTTCATTGACTGTCATGTGCACTCCGGTGCAGTGAGCCTTCGAAGCATTAGATTAAATAAGACGCCAAAGAAAGGTAAGAATGAGTGGAAAATGACAAAAGAAACGACTGGCCTCGAGACTTTATAAACCCAAACTCAGTGCAACGTTACAGGCTGATCAAACCGCCATGCCAATATGTAATAAATGTTTGGGTTGTAACCCCAGGACTCACGATGGTGATGTAGAAGGTGCAGATGATGCCCATGGCGACGACGGAGACAGTGGTGGAGAGGCCTGTGACGGTGGTGAGGGCGAGGGACGGAGCGTACAGCACCAGGCCCATTAAGAAGAGGCCATACAGCAGGTGGGCGCCCGACGCCATCTGCCGTAGTGGGCGAGACTTGTAACGGAGCTCTAGGTACTGTAGAGGGGGATACAAAATGAAGCTATATCCTGTATGAGTGACTTATACTGGATATTGTATAAATAAATAAGTTTTTTGTGTGTGAAAATTGTATTATATAAACAATAATAAATTTTGAAAACAATATTGCGTGCGAATGTAGGGTTCACTCCAAAGGAACCCTTGATGAGGATTGTTCTTCCAGAAAACTGTGTATATAATTTTCTCTCTCGGTAAAGTCGGATTCGTTCTCGACGCACCATCAGGAATTCCGAGTTCGAATCCCGGGCCGGACAGAAATGTAAGGGCCAGTTTCCTATCACCTAATAGGTTTGTTCACCTAGCAGTAGATAGGTACCCAGGAGTTAGTCAGCTTGTTGTGGGGTTACATTAGTGATGAAGGTCTTCTGCCAGTAGTTCCACCTTGGGTAGAAGGCCCTCGACATAAGCCTAACATGAATATATGTACATTAAGTATATGTACAGCTTGCACATTAAGCATCAGCTCCTGGGCCCTGCCTTGCTTTCGTCGGTCGTACATTGCAATGAGTCTCAGATATATTACCTCTTACCATACCACCTCACGAAACCTTGTGTGCAGTTAGCTACATCCACCTCCACATCTACTTGCCCAACCACTTGCGCTGGACGATAGAGCGACGGTCTCGCTTCATGCAGGTCGGCGCTCAATCCCCGACCGTCCAAGTGGTTGGGCATTGTACATGTGTATTTGAAAATGTAAGGAGTGCCTTGTGAAACGCGTCCCTAGGCGTCAGACCATAATAAATTGTGAAAATGAACTGTGGAGAGTTAATTATTCAACTTCCCTCAACAGTGAAGTAACATTGAGGAGATTCGTGTTAGAATAATTAATCTAACTCTTTTGGGAGTATTCAACAACATATGTTTACAAGAAAGCCTGCTACCAAAATATACCAATATATATATATATATATATATATATATATATATATATATATATATATATATATATATATACATATATATATATCGATTTGCCTATATAATATATATATATATATATATATATATATATATATATATTTATGACCGAACCTATATATATAACCTGTCTTATATATATATATATATATAGGTATATATATATAAAACTATATATATATATATATATATATATATATATATATATATATATACCTTATTAATGGAGACCAGCTTAAGGTTGAAGAGGACGGGCAGCGACACTTGGTGGACAAACAAGCAGCCGAGGATAATCCCCAGGACGGAGGTGCAGATCTGTGTACCAAACGCGTACACCTCAGAGGAGTTTCCTGCAGAAGGGAGGTGAGGGACATATGAGGCAGAGAGAGTGTGTGAGGGAGGCACGAGCCTCACTGGTATGAGGTGTGAGGAAGAATAGGTTGGCTTGTGTTAGGATCGATTGTAATATTATTGACATTGATTAAATGGTTTCATATATGTTGGTTCAATATCTTCTGGAATCTTAAATGCTATACAGTTAAATTTAAACTTACTGTGAAATCAAAGACATTTTTCCCCTGCAAAAATTAACGTATCGTGTATTATAGTATAGTTTCACAAACAGGTAGGCCCTTGGAAAGGTTAGGCTAGTTTTTTTTGGTTTTGTTGACAATTATTTGCATAACTCAGGCAAGATAGAGTTTACTGACATATGCATTTTGATCAACCTGTCCTCTTACAAATTACATCTGAATTTGGCCGTTTGCCCATACGGCCGAAAATGGACGTAATTTGAAATTGAAAAAAAAATTGAAAATAAATTTTGGATTTTTTTCTACAACAGCAAATTAAGGGTTCTCTGGTAGGTTAGGAGGACAGGAAATTCTTGTAAGGTTTCAAACCGTCATGAAAACCGTTAACTGAATGTTTCCTCTCCTAACCTCACCGAGTAAGCCGGAGGACTCATACATAAAACGGAACAGTACATCACCTTCGTGAGCTGATTTAATTTCATATTACGTCCATTTTTGGCCATAGGGCGCGTACGAGGGAACAGCGAAGTCCTTTTTAAGAGGACGGGTTGGTAGATGAGACATGTTTCACGAATATGCTGGTGGAAAGAACCTAGCAGGTTCTTTCCAGCTGCATATTTGTAAAACAACTCATGTAGAATATCAGTAGTCCTCAACCTGGATCCCTTGGCTCTCTCTCTAACGAGTATATTCCACGATGATTCTAGTATGTATGTGATCCAAGGTAGTTCTTGCTGAATGTGTTTTACAATGATTTTAGATACTATGACGATATCCACGCCATCTGTGGAGTGAAGTGTGACGATATTCACGCCATCTGTGGAGTGAAGTGTGACGATATCCACGCCATCTGTGGAGTGAAGTGTGACGATATCCACGCCATTTGTGGAGCACTACCGACCACAGCTCGTTTAGGAAGTGGGTTGATGACAACGCCCTTTCTTGAGGGAGATGACGATGTACACGCCATCTATTGAGTGTACCCGACTACATTTTCTCTTCCCCGGTGGAAGGCTGCCATCATATTTTATTTCTGTGTAGTTTCCGTCTTGCTAATGACGTTTTTAGTCCGAAGAAGTTATGTGGAGAGTATCGTGGTCAGCAGGAATCAGTTCACCCAGGCCAGTCCTGAACTGAAGACGTGTTCCAGCGGGAACGATTGGCCGCATCTGTATCGACAGTGATTTGTCTGTAATACTTGCGAAGTATTAGTGATTGGAACGACGTACCCGTGATAGCCAAATAGAGTTTTGAGACTGAAGTACCGGAATCTGTTAAGGCTTCTTGTAAGCCTGTGTGGAGTTCTGCCAGTGTGTTGCTGGAGAATTCTGCAAGTGTTGCTGGTGACCTCTGCCAGTGTTGCTGGAGAGTAGAAGTAGTGTTTTACACACCGTGACGATACTGTGTGGGACTGGCTCATGTATTACTGAGTTGGATGAACTCGCCGGTGTGAGGACCATAGAACGTGAGTGATGTTTAATAGAAGATAAAGTGGACTAGCCAGGAAAGGAAGATTGCTGACGTTACTGTATTAGTGTCCCGTGCGAAAGTGACACTCGCTGTGTGATATGTACATATGTATATAGATATATTTATGAAGTACAGTTAGTGAAGGTTCTGGTTAGTATTGTTTACCTCCTTTTCCTTTCACGATTAATAATTGCTGACAATTCTTGAAAACTTTCCAATGACTCGGGGTGGGATCGACTAAGAAGAGGCACTAAGGGCCCCATTCAGTGTTTGAAATAAAGAACCCGGTTACTGGCTAAATGAGGCCGTAACATTACTAAATGGTCCAAGGCAGCTCTATAGTGTGTATGTGTTCCTAAGGTTCTCTACATTTGGTCACTAGAGCATCCAAAGGGCATATATAGACTAGAGCCACCCTAGTTGGAACAAATGCAAACATGAGTACCAGGGGCCACATGGTTCCACTTTTAGACCCACATACCTAGATTTCCTCCGTACACATAACAAAACTTATCAGGAATATCACTTATTTTATAGCAAGCCGAAGCTTAGGAATGCAAATAAATAATGATAAACGAAACAGCCTACACAAAAATAGCTTGAACATAAATTAAAAATTGCCAAAAAATAGTGCATAGTGAATTACAAAGGAGAATTTCTGTCCACTAACCCAGTATGGATATGGCGGAGATGACGCCGCCGAGGAGAGAGAAGGCTACTGGGACTGGAGACATGGTCCTGCCGCCCAGCAGGTAGTCCTCCGAGGTGGTGTTGCCCTGACCCTTGAGGGCGCTGTACACACCGATCCCGACGGACGCCGCCAGCATGAGGCTGAAGACTGTGTAGTCCACCGTCGTGAACGTCGGCCCCGACAGATCTCCATCCTCCGCTGTAGTCACAAACTCTTCCGAAGACATCTCTAGAAGATAAACTTTTTCCTGCATTTAATTTTAATATATCTGGATATACAGAACAAATCGTTCATATGTACACGAGGAAAGCTTGAAAGATTAACATGAAAGATAAAAAATGGCATTATTAAATGTAGGAGGAAGTACTAGAACCGTCCTCCTGACCCATGTGAAGAGGAAGATTCTATTCACTCAGTAACGTGGCTAAAACTTTTTGGACTACGAACTGTTTAAAATCTAAATTTGTTTAGGATTATTCCTTTTCAGCCAGTTTAGACTTGGCTTTCTAGTTTCAAAGAGCCATTGTTTAAATCCTTGTGTTGCTCCAACTAATTTTTTTTCTGATATATCATGCAATTTTGATTTATTTATTTCAACAACTTCTTTAAATTGTATATTCCACATCACTCATGAATACCAATTCAAATTGATTTTAAAAGCTGCATAAATTTATACACACACACACACATCTAGGGGCCTGCTAGTATTCAGGAACGAGGCCATCAAAGAGGACATCCTAGTAAAGAAGAGCAAACTGAAAAATGCAAGGAATTACAAAGAGGTATACCTTCAGAGGGACATGACCAGGGACGAGATAATAAGGGCAGCAGATGCAAGGAAAAGGTGCAGGGAGAGGGAAGGGAGCCAGGGAACCTCAGCCTCCAACCCAGCAATCCCAGAGGGGAGTGGGGAACCCCAATCCAGCAATTCAGGAACCCCAGAGGGGACTGCAACACCCCAGCCCACCACCCCATAGGCCCCCCCCACCCCCAGCACAAATCCTTCCTTGCCCCTGCACAATGCCCACCATATCACCCAAATCCTCCCTCCCCCCTTACCCCGAGTATCCCCTGCCTTCCCATCCCCTGGTCTTCTTCCTGCCCCAAGCAGGCCCAGGCAAGACCTAAGCCCTCCATCCCCCACCCCACCTCCCCCCAAACCCCTGTTAACTACACCACAGGAGGGCGTGCCCTCACCCCAAGCAATCCCTGCCCCCCAACCCCAAGCACTCCCTGCCCCCCCACCCCCAGGACTTCTTCCTGTCCCAAGCAGGCCTGGGCAAGACCTAAGCCCTCCCCACCTTCCCCTGAACTCCTGGCAACTACCCCACAGGAGGAGTACTCAAACATCGATGGGATTACCAATAAAGCAAGTGAACTTGCAGAAAAGGCACAGGAAGAAAACCCAGATGTAATAGGACTCACGGAAACAAGTTGGAAATCATAACAAACTCTGTGTTTCCAAAGGACTACTATATAGTACAGAAAGAGAGGGAAGAGAGAGGAGGTGGAGGAGTGACCCTGCTGATAAGGAAGGACTGGAGTTTTAATAAGATAGAAATACCGGGCTGTGATGGATTCAGAGACTACATAACAGGAACTATGGCAATGGGTGGACCTAAGATAATAGTAGCAGTCATTTACAACCCTTCACTAAATGACAGAAGACTCAGATAGGAGTTCGATAGGAACAACATGGCAACCAATAATATAAAAGAGAGAGCAGCTTTAGTTGCCTGCTACATGGAGAGCTAAACTCTTGGAAGTGGCAACAAGGAACTTTCTGAGCCAACATGTCAGGGAACCCACAAGAATGAGAGGCAATGACGAACCAGCTAGACTCGACCTGATATTCACCTTGAATGAGTCAGAAATAAGGGAAGTCAAATTTGAAGCCCCCATAGGAATGAGTGACCACAGTGTATTGACATTTGAGTATCTGGTGGAGGTAGGGATAACCTATCCAAGGATGGGATCGGAAGGGAAAAGACTAAATTACCGAAGAGGAAAATATGATGAGATGAGGAACTTCCTAAGGGGAATACCATGGGAAACAGAACTCAGAGAGAAGACTGTACAGGATATGATGGACTATGTCACCCAGAAGTGCCAGGAAGCTGCAGACAGGTTTATCCCGGTCCAAAAGGAGAAAAACGAAAAGCAACAGAAGAATCCATGGTTCAACCAGGAATGTAAGGTAGCGAAGCAATTGAGTAAAAGAACATGGAGAAACTACAGGAATAACAGAACACCAGAGAGCAGGGAGAGATACCAGAGGGCCAGAAATGAGTACCTCAGAGTGAGGAGAGAAGCAGAGAGACAGTATGAAAATGACATCGCGAGTAAAGCCAAGACCCAACCAAAACTGCTCCACAGCCACATCAGGAGGAAAACAGCAGTGAAGGAACAAGTGATGAAACTGAGAAAAGGGGAGAACAGATACACAGAGAATGACAAGGAGGTGTGTGAAGAACTCAACAAGAGATTCCAGGAGGTCTTCACAATAGAACAAGGAGAAGCCCCTGCACTAAATGAGGAGGCAAACCAAGCAACCTTGGAGGAATTTGACCTCACCAGTGATGAGGTCAAAAGGAATCTGTTGGAGCTGAATGTGACAAAGGCTGTTGGGCCTGACAGAATCTCACCGTGGATACTAAAAGAAGGTGCAGAAGCACTAAGTGTGCCACTCTCTATGGTGTATAACAGGTCACTGTAAACAGGAGACCTACCAGAAAGCTGGAAGACAGCTAATGTAGTCCCAATATACAAAAAGCGTGACAAGCAAGAGGCACAGAACTACTGGCCAGTTTCCTTAACTTGTATACCATGCAAAGTGATGGAGAAGATCGTGAGGAAAAGGCTCGTAGTGCATCTGGAGGGAAATAGCTTTGTAACACACCACCAGTATGGGTTCAGAGATGGTAAATCGTGCCTCACAGGTTTAATAGAATTCTATTACCAAGCAACAAAAATTAGGCCAGAAAGAGAAGCGTGGCAGACTGCATTTTCTTGGACAGTCAGAAAGCCTTTGACACAGTACCCCATAAAAGGTTGCTACAAAAGTTGGAGCAACAGGCAGGAGTAAACGGTAAGGTACTCCAGTGGATAAGGGAGTGTCTAAGCAACAGGAAACAGCGAGTAACTGTGATGGGGGGAAGATATCAGAGTGGCGAGATATCACCAACAGAGTCCCACAGGGCTCTGTACTTGGACTCATCCTGTTTCTAACATATGTAAACGATCTTTTAGAGGGTATAGACTCATTCCTCTCAATGTTTGCTGATGATGCAAAAATTATGAGAAGGAGCAAGACAGATGAAGATAGACAGAAACTACAGGACGACCTGGACAAATTAGAGGAATGATCTAGAAAATGGCTACTAAAGCTCAACTCAGGAAAATGTAAAGTAATGAAATTAGGCGAAGGGAGCAGAAGGCTGAACACAAGGTACCATCTGGGAGGTGAAATCCTGCAAGAGTCAAATAGAGAGAAAGATCTGGGGGTCGATATCACACCGAACCTGTCCCCAGAGGCCCACATCAAAAGGATATCATCAGCGGCATATGCTAGATTGGCCAACATAAGAACTGCCTTTAGAAACTTGTGTAAGGAATCGTTCAGGACCCTGTATACCACTTATGTCAGACCAATCCTGGAATATGCAGCTCCAGCCTGGAGTCCATACCTAGTTAAACACAAGACAAAGTTAGAGAAGATTCAGCGGTATGCCACCAGACTCGTCCCGGAACTGAGAGGTATGAGCTACGAGGAAAGGCTAAAGGAGCTGAACCTCACGTCCCTGGAAAACAGAAGAGTAAGGGGAGACATGATAACCACCTACAAAATTCTCAGGGGAATTGACAGGGTGGACAAAGACAAACTCTTCAGCACGGGTGGAACACGAACAAGGGGACACAGGTGGAAACTTAGTACCCAAATGAGCCACAGAGACATTAGAAAGAATTTTTTCAGTGTCAGAGTAGTTAACAAATGGAATGCACTAGGAAGTGATGTGGGGGAGGCTGACTCCGTACACAGTTTCAAATGTAGAAATGATAGAGCCCAGTAGGCTCAGGAATCTGTACCTGTACCTGAATCTGAATCTGTAGTTGATTGACAGTTGAGAGGCGAGACCAAAGAGACAAAGCTCAACCCCCGCAAGCGCAAATAGGTGAGTTCAAATAGGTGAGTACACACACACACACACACACACACACACACACACACACACACACACACACACACACACACAGAAAGAAGTGATAAAACTTAGAAAAGGGGAGAACAGATTCACAAAGAATGACAAGGTGAAATGTGAAGAACTCAAACAAGAGATTCCATAAGGTCTTCACAATAGAGCAAGGAGAAGCCCTGGTACTAAGACAGGAGGTGGCAAACGAAGTAACCTTGGAGGAATCTGAGCTCACCAGTGATGAGGTCAAACGGAACCTGTTGGAGCTGAATATGGCAAAGGCTATTGGGCCTGACAGAATCTCGCCATGGATACTAAAAGAAGGCCCAGAAGCACTACGTGTGCCTTCTCTCTTGTGTATAATAGGTCACTGGAAACAGGAGACCTACCGGAAAGCTGGAAGACAGCTAATGTAGTCCAAATATACAAAAAGGGCGATGGGCAAAAGGCACTGAACTACAGGTCCACCTGCCCTCCCCCATTACTGCCTGCCTGCCTTTCAGTTACCCATTCAGCCAGCCCATCCATTTTGCCCCACCCATCTACCAGCCAGCCCACTCACCATCCATCCTCCTGCTCTTCCATATATGAGAAAACAATTACCGACATATATATATATATATATATATATATATATATATATATATATATATAATATATATATATATATATATATATATATATATATATATATATTATAATATATATATAATATGTTATAATATATATATTAATAAATATGACCGAAAAAGTAAGATTAATAATTCTAACACGAATTTTCTCAATATCTCTTATATTTCTTTTCACTGTTGATGGTAACTGAAAAATCAATTCTCCAAAATTCATTTTTATTTCAAGTCTGACGTGACACTTGAACGCGTTTCATAATAACTTATTACATTTTCAAAGATTTAATTTACACACACACACCTATAACTAGAGTTTAAACAGCTTCGATTTTATACCTGCATTTGGGTGAGGTGATATGTTACAACAGTTTAGGATGTGGTGAAAACAAACTTACAACAAAAGA